GTCCCCCCCCCCCCCCATATCGTTACACTGCTAAGAGCCACCCAATCAAGGGAATAGTCAAATGGCCATCCCTCGATCTCTCGCGCCGTTCGGAGGATCAGTTATGAGGTCTCAGGTCTCGATTGAACCGTTCGGTAATCCCCCACCAAGTACCAGCCCGCTCACTGATTGCCTCCATTTTTCAGTGTCATCAGCAGAAAAGCCAAGGCGGTGTACCCGTGCGAGGCCGAGCACGACTCGGAGCTCTCCTTCCAGGTCGGCGCAATTTTCAACGCCGGTAAGTGCTATCGCGCAATAGCGGCGGGCCGCGGCCGGCATATTGGATTGGGAGGAAAAAAGAACTCCCAATCTGATCTTCCATCGAACGGAGAGATAAGACGGGTAGAGGGAGGGCCACGGTGCCGGTGGATGGGAGACTCAGATTTCCTCCCCAGAGGACCCACGGAGCCTTAATCACTCTCTCAGGAAATGAAGATTAGGTTGCCGTACAGATCCCGCGATGCATTTCCCATCGTCGTGATCGCCATTTTTTCACGGGTCTTTTGTCGTTCGTGAGCAACATTTCCACACACCACAATGAAACTATCGGAACTGGAATGGTGTTCAATTTGAGCAGTGGCTTCAAAATGCTCTTCAAACTCACACGTGTGTCTTCCTTAAACCTGCAATGTCGCAAATGATTTTGAAGTATCGTGTATAGGATTAAGTCCATTATGCCCGCGCTCGATGGTCATAATTTATTGCAAGGTATTAAATTGAAATCAAGGGGTGTTAAAATATCCAAAGTGTGTCTTTATTAAACCTGTAGATAACCTTTTATGGTTATGAAGAAAAAGTTGGAATATACTGAGCCCATCCTGAGTGGTCAAAATTTGTCGGCATCCAAAAGAGAAAAAAAAAATGAAGATGGAATCTGGATATCATGTAATAATAGTATGGGCAAGAAATTGGCATCAACTTTCTTAAAACACTAATCCCGTATTGTTCATTCCTAGTGTTCATACAAACACAAATAAACAGACAAACAAAAACAGAATACATGATTTGCAAATCATGTTCAACCTACATTTATTTCAGGGAAATACACGACAAAGACAAAATATAGAATGTCAAAATGAATTGACGTTTTTAGAAAAATAATCATAAACGTGGAATTTTATGGCATGTGGTGGCCATGTTGCAAAACAACGCGCAATGTCTCAAGCGGTCATATTTATTGGATACGAGCAAAGAAAATCCAAATAATGGTGAGATCCCCCCCAAAAAACACTCACTTCCTGTGTGCTCTCTTCTTATCTTATCCGCCGACCACTGAACACCCTACTCCAAAAGAGCCTCACCACCACCACCACCACCACCACCTCCTCCTCCTCCTCCTCCATGTCCCCTCCTTCTGCAGTGACCCAGTCCAGAGAGCCGGGCTGGCTGGAGGGGGAACTGGAGGGCAAGCGGGGCCTCATCCCTGAGAACTATGTGGAGATGCTGTAGCCTCCAAAACGGACACAATGAGGGGATTTATTAGTTGACGCCTTATTCTCACCTGTTGTGTTCTCTCAAGCCATGGACCTATTTTTTTTTTCTCCACCCGCCCACTTATACATGGTATCCATGAGACACCCCTGGCCCCCTCACACAGCAGCGCTTTCGGTCCGCCACCGTGCCTTGTCGAGCCCTGAATGTTAACGGGTATGTATGGCCATAAATCATCTACAGGGTTTTTTGCTTGCATATTCCAAATGAGGCGCACTTTGATTTTATTTTGGGCCTCCCAAAACTCTCTATACAATCGGTGCACTTTTTGGCTTTCTTTCAGCAGACATCCAAACATCGCACCCCACTGCCAATCGTGCCTTTTTGTTTTTTATGTCAGATGAGTCTGTTCATGTCAGCATCAGGAGGTGACTTTCTATTGAGATTATTATTACCGGAACCAAGTGTTTTATTATTTTTATCTTTTTTTGGGGAGGATGGGGTGGTTTTTAAGCTTTTAACGTTCATGTTGCCTTTTCCGGGCAGAAACACTCCTGCAAAACAACGTCTTGATTTAATATGGTTTTATTTCACCCCAAAGGAAAAAAAAAATCAGATTTTTATGGTAAATAAGCTCGTAGAGTATTTCAATTCAATTTGTGTACGTATGGTATCGTGATGATGAATTTCACATGGTTTTAAGGTGGAAGCACGTCACTTCAGTTTATCCCACCGGCGGTTGCAATAATTTCAAGTTTTGATTTGTGGTGTTGTTGTTTGTAAAGGGTTTTGAATTCATTTTTGTACACCTTTCAATGGGGGCATCCTCTCAACCAATGTTCAATAAAACATGTATTCTTGCAGTGAAATAAATGTTCCAATTGGTAATTTTTCAAAGGAATTGTCCTAAAATGGTTGTTTCCCGGTGCATTTTTTTCCTTTACTCTCTTCAACAAATACGGTCGAGACAGTCATTAAATTCTGTGATAAAAATCTTCCCAAGCAGTGGTGCCTGAAGATAAAACTGCCCCAAACTACAAAAAGACCCCACAGGCCATTGAAATCCACTCCCAGTTGAAGTCCAATGTCAGACTAAAACACAAATCAAAGAATGACACTTTATTTTGAACCGCATCTTAGCCTTTCAGTCAGCTAGCTTTATGCTAATGCTAATTAGCATCTATGTGGTGGTGCTTTCACCCTTTAATCAACAGATCGAACACCAAGTCGTTTTACTTGTTTTTTTTTTACCAAACATCGTTCATACATTTTTTCTGCTTGGTTTATTGAGAAAAAAACATTTACAGTGTTGAGTTTTCAAATTTTAACTTGCATCTGTCATTGTATGCTAGCTTAACAGCTGAAAGTATCCCCGCTCATTATCCAAGATGATCAGTACTTGACTTATTAGAGCAAAGTGATGGTGATGCACTTTTGTCTTTATCCATTACCCCCCCCCCCCCCCACACACACACACACACACACTCACTATGATATGCTTTTCACTTAGATTGTAAATGACCCACTAAAAACAACACATCCATCATCCAAAATTGTTGGCGGTTGGTTCATTAAAAACAAAATAACCGCGTGTGTGGTTCGAGGGCATCGCAAGCGCCCGTCTTGAAGTGAGACCGAGCCAGCGCAACAATCAATGACTAGACTCGAGTCGAAAGTAAGCATACAAAGTAGGAATGTGCAGATGAGTCAGAGTTGCGAGAGGAGGACGAAGAGAAGCGGGAGGAGGCGGAGACAACAGACTTGACAGACAGTCTGGCTGGTGTCGCCGCTATGATTCAGCACTATTTCCGAAGGGGGGGGGGGGCAGGACGAGGGAAAAGGATAAAGGGCCCTGAGGGTGGATGGTGGCAGTGATGGAGGGGGGGAATGTCACCCATCTCATTAGTGCTAGCTTGCGTTGTTACATAATCACCGTGTGTGTGTGTGTGTGTGTGTGTGTGTGTGTGTCTGTCTGTCTGTGAGAATGCAGCTACAGTAAATACAGTGGAAACACTGGAGTGGATAAAATCATACCAATGCCAAACCTTTGCTCAGTGAGCACCGAAGGACTTGCTACACACAAGGATTTTTTTTTTTAAACAAAAAAGGCATTTTCTGTTACAATGCGACGATTAAAAAAAAAACGACTGATCGTATGTATGTGCGTGAATCTTAACCACATGCTTGTTTTCGCTTATGCCGGCTTCCTTGTTCCTCGAAACGACTCGGCTAAATTTAACTAAGTACTTATTATCTTGATTACGGGATAATGAACATTCTCATTTAAGTGGCTGAACGACAATAAGTGGCATGCAAGTCAAAATTTGAAAACAAGACAACATGGAGACAAAAGCCACTCGCTATTACTTTGTTGAATTAAACTTCTTGGATAAGAACTGATTTCTGCTTTTCGAGCTGATCACGCACACAACGAGGAAATAGCTAACAGGAAAAAATATATATAAAAGCCACTTGCTGTTACTTTGGTTGAACCAACCAAATACTAACAATCTCCGAGAACACTGGGAAGCGCATTTTTTGTTGAATTAGGCCAAATTTTCTTTTGTTTGTTTGTTTTTTTACAATTTTTTGGGTGAAGAATCCAAAATTGATCTCAGTTTTTCTCGATCACATCAAGTTAGCTATATGAGCTATCGGATTCCCGTTTTCTGGAAAAAAAACTACATCAAATAAATGTCGGGATGGAAATAAACCTCTAAAATGGAACGGTTATGAGCTTTGGTCAACTAAAAAGAAGCAGCAGAAAACAAAATGGATCTTACAACGATGTGCACATGGTTAACAAAGTTAAGAGAAAAGCCAGCTCCAAAGATGAGTCCAATCGTGATGATTGACAGTTAATAAACCATCTGAAGTTCTTCAAGAACAATGACATCGAGCGCAGCAAATTGACCATTATTTGGAGTTATCTTCTCTCTTAGTTTAATATCTATAACGTGGACATTGGTGTCGATGGAGTGCGCACACAGGATCGGAAAGTTAAAACCGGACATCTTCATTTGTCCTTCCTCGATGCTTCCTGGCGCTGTTCCAGCCACGCTGTGATGCAGTGTCCTTCATCTTTCACCACCACCACCACCTCCTCCCCACCGTTTTGCCATCCATACTTCATGACTCAGCTGTGTGTCTGTGTGTGTGTGTGTGTGTGTGTGTGTGTGTGTGTGTGTGTGTGTGTGTGTGTGTGTGTGTGTGTACATATATATACTGTATATATACTGTAAATATATATATATATATATATATTTACAGTATATATACAGTATATATATGTACACACACACACACACACACAGTAAAAGTACGCCTGAACAATCGGCTGGACTAAAGTAAAACGGGGCGTCCGGCTGTGCGAACTCTGAATCTTGACGTGCTCGTACATGCGCTGAAAAACACACTTATACAGTTTAGTGTGGAAGCGTTTATGTTGTTTTTCTTTTTATAAGCCATGTGGGTGGATTATTTTTGACAACATATATATATATATATATATAGACACACACAGTAAAAGTACGCCTGAACAATCGACTGGACTAAAGTAAAACGTGACGTCGGGCTGTGCGAACTCTGAATCTTGACGTGCTCGTGCATGCGCTGAAAAGCACACTTAGGCAGTTTAGCGTGAAAGCGTTTTTGTTGTTGTTTTTCTTTTCTAGGCCATGTGGGTGGATTATTTTTGACAACATGAGAGGGAAATTTTTTATTTTATTTATTTATTTTTTTTAAAGACTGGCTATGTGTAGACAAGGACTCAGGTATGGGGGGAGTGCACATGCGCCAAAGCATGCCACATTCGAGCACAAAGCACGGAAGCATTTGTTGTGCGTACGGTAATAGTTAGCCAGCTATTGATCATCAAATTTTACTGTTACTCAGTTAATAAAGCCCAGCTAGGCAGTGTATCAACGCCTTTCACGGCTGCCTTGAGGTCAGACGACAGATTAGCTTAGCTCTAGCTTGCTGCTACGACAAAATACAGATGGTTTACTGGACCAAAAAAACAATGAGGCATCCTGTGAGGTGAAGTAAGATATTTTAAACACAAAAGGAAAACCTTTCCTTAGTTAACACTGCGCATCAATCCACAACTTCAAATAAGTGAATGAATGAGGCTTTTTCAAGCAATTTAGTGGAGATAAAGCACCTCATAACTGCACTTTATTTCGCATCCCCTCCTTGTGATCAAATGTGATTTAAGTTGGACAACAGAATGTTTTTCAGGAAAAATACAGTAAGTATCCGATTCAGGTTCATTGTGTACTCGCTCATTAGCGTGAACAAGAATAAGCCAACGCAGATGTTGGGTGCCAGTCCGAGCTCCAGTAAAAGGTATTTGTACTTCCCACCACTGCAAACTAACAACCACAAACGAGCAAATGCAAGTGAGTTTTCTCGGGAAGACTTGGAGAAATCCGAGTGTGCGGGGCTGCAAAAGTGGGCCAGAGATGCCGCCGCCATGTGCGCGGGCGCAGCCGTGAAATCAGCCTGATCCAATAGATTTTGTTTATCTGGCACCACTACAAGTGAAAGTGATTGAAAATCTGGGGGAGATTTGGAAAGGCCTTGCGGATTTGAATGGGGTGGAGGGTGGGAAAATAGAAAAATAAAGCAATACAGTCTGGCAAAGAAATGCGTTTGCAGATTGTGAGGTCAAGTGATTTAAATTTTTTTTTTTTATTTTCTCTCCGGCCTACCTTTTTGCTTTGCTGGCTTCTGAGTCGTCCAGCATGGCGCCAATGCAGCTTTTTTAAATTCAACCGCAGCCAAATTGAGTTGGGCTTGTGCCCCTCTCAGTTGAGCCGAGCAATCAGTGGTCAATAAATGTCACATTGCTTCATGATAATGTCGGAATGAAATGCAATTGGAAAAAAGAAATAGATTCCGTTTTTTTAAATGATTAAAGCCTGTTTGAACAGCTGAACTTTATTCGGGTTAAAAAGAGTCACTTTAAATTTTGGCAGATTGCTTATTCCCATTTAACATGATTGGTAAACTAGCAAATAATATATTTTTCTCATATTTTATTGGGTTGATTAAAAAAAATGTCAAACGTGACAGCAACGAGATGTAGTGACTTGTTGATTTTATTGTGGTGCTGGTCAACAATAGCGCCTTGGATTAGGAAATCATCTCAACAACAACAAAATAAACAAACAAAAAATCCATCACTTGACACATTTTGTTACAAAATAAGAAATACCATTTTTTTTGTCACATGAGCAATGATGAGAGGAAAAGTAACAAAAAATTGGGAGAAAAAAAGTTGTCGATATCTTCTGTCTCACATTCAGGTACTAAGTCTGTCACAATATATATCGTACATTCATTGCTCCTTCCAACACAGAAAACGCAGCGGGGGGGAGGGGGTAGGGTTACACACATCCTTCTGTAGAAATGTTTTCCACTCAACAGAACAAGAAGGATTTTTTTTATTGTTGTTGTCGTATGTACAAGAGTGTTGAACTGTAAATCGCATGTGATTAAAAAAAGGCACAAGTTTCCCTTTTTCGTTCTTTTGTGTCTTAAATACAATGTAAACATCTTGTCATCAAAACGCATGCATTTTTATCAACATCTTACAAAAAAAAAGTTTGCTTTTTTTTTTGTGTTGACAAAAGTACTTAAATATTATTTTCCAGCAAAATATAATTCTCTCAAAAATACTTTCCCAGTCAACCTTATTTAGACGTTAGCGCTGATTCCTTACGAAGGACAAACAAATGGGCGGGAGCAGAGGGCTTAACTTGAGGGTCCCTCAAAAAAAAAAAAAAAAAAACACGAAAGAAAAAGTTTAGCGTCGCTGTCTTTTTTTTTCCTTCATAAATACAGTGGAACCTTCAAAGTAGAACAGAATTTTTATTTTCTCTCAAAAGGGTAACATTGGCGGTTATATTAGCTCGATAATGTCATGCAATGCCATTAAAATGCCACTAGGTGACACCCATTGGATGACTTCAAAGGGTATGTGTGTAATTTTACGTTTTTTTTGGGGGGGTTGTGTTGTTTTGATGTCGTTGCTAACATTTGTAAATACTTGTGGTCATTACGTTTTTAATGGACTGTAGATGCCACATGATGGAGAAAAGCTGTTCTTTCGTCTTCCCCAAATCACTTCAACTTAGTCCCTTGGCACAAATATGCCATAAAATAGAGGCCAAGCACTACTTTTGTCTCATGGAAGCCTCTCAATTCACGTCGACATAGTTTCTTTTCTACAAGATGGCGCCAGAGTAATACTTTTAGATAGAGCAGGAATAATTCTGCCCTATGAATCCTGCCTAGCAACAAGCAAAAGGCAATTTTTCCTGCGAAATGACCTGAACATGACATGTGACACGAGCATGATTTTTGGGGTATTTTTAATATTTATGATTTCTAATATTTCTTCTTTATCGTAAAATTTCGATTGCCCTCGTTGCCTCGTCTGTTTTCCGCAATTTGTATTCTGCATATTAGACGTGCTACAAAATGCTACATGGAAGTTTTACCATGGCGATAAATTGATCGACATTGTTCTCTCTGCGACAAAAAACCCCCCAAAACAAACAAACAAAAAAAAAAATTCCACTTCCAGCAACTTGGAAGTCTACCGGCCAGATGGGGGTTCCACTGTATTCAAAACGAAAGCCATCAAGGAGAGGCGTCCCCATTCCTTACTGTGCTTGTCCCAAATTGTCGACGTAAAGGACGACGATCCCAACTAGCTGCTTCTCAACCGTATCTCCTTTGTGCAAAAAAATAAAATAATGCAAACAGGATATGGCGAATCCACCAACAAACCCACATCATACACTTTTCACACTGTCAAATTAGGGAAAGTAGTACTTGGTGGTCTTGGGTTCGAGAGGCAGGGGGCCCGGGGGAGATTGCGCTGTTCACGCTCTTCAGTAGCATCGTGCTTTTGAGAGAAGTCTGCGTCAACTCAACAAGTGTACAAAATCATACCGTAACGCGTTCTTCCAAACTTTACAATAGCTCGCGCTAGTTTGTTAGTAGCTGTACATTAAGCAATGCAGATTAAGTCTCCATTTTAAACCGAACTGTACAGGGTGTGTGTGTGTGTGTGTGTGTGTGTGTGTGTGTGTGTGTGATTGCTATTCAATTAAAACCATCTATGTCCAAATTTTGTGATTTTTAAACCCGAAACCAAAAATAATACTTCAGTTTTTTTTTTTTATATTCCCAAAAAAGAGAAACAAAAAAAGTATGTTATTGTTATGGGTTAAAATAATAATCTTGGGTTTTACATAATTTTTTTAACATATATGGTGGAGGTTTTGCCGAGAAAAAAAAAATCCCTAAAAGATTATTTTTTTAAGTTATTTTTGTCTTTTTTTTTAATCTAAAAGTAATGTGAGGGGGTGTACTTGGATTAAAAAAAATAGTTCCTCGCAATTTAAAAACGTTTATTTTTAGAGGGGTTAAGGTAAAAATAAGAATATTTTTGCGGGAAAAAAATCCAATTTAAGGTGATGATATTTGTACTGTAATTTAATGTTTGTTTATAATTCCTTTTTTGGTGGGGGCAATAATTCTTTTTAGGGCTTGTTTTTTTTTTTATCAGCTAGATAAAATAAAAATTGGGCTCTAAATTGCTCACAAAATTGGGACATTGTTTTTGTTGTATGGCTATTGCGTGCGTGTGTGTTTGCATTGTTGCATTTAAAGTCACTGTACAAAGATCTCGCCTGGCATTGGTAAGAAATGAAGCACCTTCATGTCAAGGGAGCGGCTTGTCTGGGGGGGAAAAAAATAAAAATAAATGCAGACAAGTCTTATAAAAATGCTTTATTTGTGGGAAGAGTCAGGTCACAAAGGGCTGGCTTTGCTTGCGAGTCAAAATAGACGTGAACTCGACAGCTGCTCTGGAGATAACACAAACAGCCGGCCGCCATTACCGCCCAGCCGGCCAACAACGCATTCGCGGCATTTTGTAGTTGTTGTTTTGTTTTTACAAACTGAATCACTCAACATTATTGTCTTGATTGTACAACCTCTCGAGTGACTCCATTAACCTTTTGCATATTACTTTGGATTGTTTCGCTGCACGAAAAAAAAAATGTACCGTGGAGTCCAAAATAATTCATGCCCCCTGCCAGAAAGATTTGACGTTTGAAGTGAATGAGTAAGGCTGGAAAGGAGACAAGAAAGTGACAAGAATGCATTTCAATTTGTAAAGTTGTGGCCGTTTTAGTCGTGTGGCAGTTTTTATTCGCCTGCTGGGTTCTTTTTCAAGTCATTAAAACAACTTGACTCATGATTTTCATCTCCTATTTTGTAACGTCGATCGATAGCTACATTATTAGCGAGATAGTATGTCACAAGAAATTTTCGAGGGCTGAAATTTAAACAGGATTCAAACTTTATTCTTTTAATTATCAGGTTCTTGTAAAAAAGTAAAAAATAAAAAACAGATGTACTCTCGTTATGTATTATTTTATAAAGATTATAACTTTTTCTTAAAGTTCAGATTTTTTTCCTCAGGGAAAATACAATCATCCTGTATTTTTTACATGTTCAATAGATTTTTTTTCACATAAAATTCAGATTCCCCCCTCTCAAGAAAATTTTGGATTTTTTTCCTCATAAATTTAAAATTGTTTGCCCATAAAATAGAAAATCTTGTAAATATTTCTTTCTGCGGGAAAAAAAAGTTTTCTCAGTTAGTTATTTATTTTTGGTAAAACGACTTTATTCCAATGTTATATTGGTACAGTATGCATGAATATAATCTAGATTGTTGTCAAACAAAAGTGTTGTCTTGTAAGTTTTTTACTGATAAATTAAGATTTAAAATATATAAATTATAATTTTTTTGTGATTAAAATTTTTAAATAAAAATCCCAATTTATTTTTTTATGTAAAGTTTAGAAATATTTTTATATTAAAGATTTTTTTCTCATAAAACTGGGATTTTTTTTCAGCATTCTTGAATTTTTTTTCATGAGCAGCTTTATTTCAAGTTTAGTTGTTTTTCCTCAAAAGTCCTTTTTGAACTTCAGTCTTCTAATTCAGTATTTTTGAAATTCACGACGGTCTGTTTTTCTTTCTCATTAAAAATATTTTGTAAAAATACTAGCTCTTTTTAAAGTACTTTTTGATTTTTTTCTGTTCTGCATTTACAACTTTTTCCTCATAAATTTAAAAAAAATCTCTTGTGACAATTTATCTTTTTTTCGGCTCACAAAAAAAAAAAAAAGACTTTTTCTATTGAAATGCACACCAAAAAAAAACAAAAAAAACACTTAAATTGTCAAATCACTCTCCAGTTATTTTCCCTACTTTCTCGTGTTGTCTCCTGCATATTCGACACGTAAAAATTCACCCGGGTATGAATCATTTTGGACTTTGATCACACCAATTGAATTTGAAAGTGAGCTCATGGTGAAGCATGTACATCCGTTATTCATACATGTAGCCCTTGGAATATTTAACTAGACCTTTGGCCTTATAGTCAAGCGTGGTGTTTATTTTTTTAATGATACTTGTATTTTTTTGTCTGCCCTGTAGTCCTGGTGTAGATACGTTGCAAAGCAAATGTCTAGCTATTGGCATGTATACCGTATATTGATTTATGTATGTGAGAGACTGCATATAAGCCACAGTTAATTTGAGTGATATTTTTGTTAGGGATTTTTTTTTTTAAGTGCATCTGTGTCGTGTGGGGTGTGTTAGTGTGAACGTAGCACTAGCACATCCTAGGAAATGTATGGCTTTATCTCCATTGAAAAGATAGTTAAGCGTCTTTGGGGTGCACAAGGGGGGTTATGGGGGCGTTTGGGGGGGGGGGCATGGCAGAGGGATATATTCCCGACTCCGATCCGACAATCCCGGTCTTTTGTTTTCCTCCATCACGTCCGGACGGCGCACGACGACTGCTCGCGACGTTTTCCACCCTTGTCGTTTCTCCAAAGTTCTCGGCCAAGCGTTTGTGAATGTTTTTCGGTTTGACTTTTACATTTTTTTGGGGGGTGGGGGCCCCCCGTCACTTCTTGTGGAAGTAGATGGTATGGGTGAGTCCCGACTCCACCTTTGGTATCTGGTCGCTGATGATCTCCACCAGCATGTCAGGGAACGCCACCTTCAGGGCTCGCGACTCGCGGAAGGTGTAGAAGCAGAAGTCCAGCAGGTTGGCCACCAGCTGCGGCACAAAAAAATATTACATTTCCATTGGGCTTTTTTTAAGTCATTTCCATTGATTCGTTTTCATTGATTTTAGTCTCTTAAGTGCTGATTTTTCTTTTGGTTGTTGTCCAATGATCATTCGATTAATTTATCATCAAGCAGTTTGTACATTTCGTAAATACGAGTATTTTCAAAACTTGATTCAGGCCCAAGAATTCTGCCTAGCAACAAGGTTTTTAATGCAACCGGCAAAGAACGATGAAAATGTAAATTCACAAGTTTATATCCGTTTGTCGTGAAATCACAGAAAATAATTGGGGGGGTGGGGGGGCAAAATCTCATCGTATTACAACTGTATTCCCACAAAATAATTGTTTTTTAAATCTCATAAATGTCACCTTTTTTTTTTTTTTTGTCGTGAATTACAATTTTGTTTGTCCTCAGGTCTATTGGAAATTTTAGATTTATTTTGGGCAATTAGAACTTGAATTACTTTTATCATTTTGACGCTACTATCAAATCTAAACTTTATTTGTGCCAAATTACGATCACATTTCTACGTTCACAAAAGAAAGGGTTTTGGTGGTATTGCAACTTCATTCTTTTAAAACAATCTTTCCTCAAATATGAAGTATTTGGATTGCGATTTTGCCGTTATATTTTCTTGCGATGGGATTGATACCAAATTTTGCGGAACCGCAAATGCGCGTCATTTTTGGTCCTGGAAAAGGCACAAAAAAATGACAGTACAAATTCACATTGGAGACCAACAATTTAAAATGAGCTCTTTGGAGGACTCTTATGTAGAGCAACCGAAATGGACTCTGACTGTACCATGCTTTGTGCAGCGGAATGGACTCTGACCCCTTTCCGGTTCACTCTACCTCACCACAAGGGGGCACTTACGATTTCAGCATCTACGACCCCACTCATGCACGCATTCATGTTTGTGAATCTGGGCAAATAGGCGCTCTACAGCGACCACTGTGATCCAGAAAACTGTCACTTGGCATTGATCCCCCCCCTTCTGTTCTGGTCGGGCCGAAATAACCGCAACCTCTCGGGGGGCCAGATTGGGATGCGGTAATCCTTATTTGGAGCCACTGCATCAGCCAACCGCTAAGTATGATCCAAATCTGCTCTGCTGCCATTCCAGAAAGAAAAAAAAAATTCCAATGATATCAGTGGCCCAAAGTTGCCAGTGAGCACCTCCCTGCGTGCGCAAACGCTGCCAAAGGAGGGGTGGGACTGCCGGGGTATACTTACACCATGCATGGCGTCCAGTAGCTTGGTGAGCTGGAAGAAGCGCTGCCAGGTCTGGCCCGAGTTGTTGGTTGCCTTCCCCACGGAGCGCCGGAGCTCCTTGATGTAATTAACTCGCATTTCCTCGAACGCCGCCTGGTTCTTCAGACCCTCTTTGGGAACTGCGAAGCAAGCGGATGCCACAGTCATTAGACAGAGGAGGGATGGGGGCCGGCGGCTTGGACCTGTGACATCTGGTCCAAGGACCCATGTCAGAAATTTTCATGAGTGAAAAGTAAAAATTCAATTTTTTTTACAAATTCAAGACATTTAAAAAACACATTTATTAAAAACAGGAAAAAAGTAAATACAATGACATGGCCTAAGTATAGGTTTTTTTTTTTCCAATTGTATAACGTACTATAACAATAGTCACACAGTGACGACTGAGCGAACTAAATTTCCCGCAGCACTGATTGGACAAGCAATGTCATGTGATCATCTGCAGCCAGAGATGGCCAAGCGAGCGTGTCATAACTAATTGACATGTTCTCTACACACGCGCACATACATATATATATATATATATATATATATAGGGGGAGAGAGAGAGAGAGAGAGAAGATTTGGTTTGGCCCAAAACGATAAACCAGGAAGTGTGGCTTCCACATTTCATCAGATTGTCTGTGGCGCTGGAAAAGTGGCCAAACACGCGGACCAGCGGGAATGTTATCGTCTCGTAAATTCTTTGCGCTGAACACACGTCACCTTTTTATAGCACAACCTTTTTTTTTTTTTTTAATTCAAGCAACCGTTTTCAAGAGAA